CCCGCCTCCCGCCTCCCGCCCCGGGAGGAAGCGGAGGGGCGCGGTGTAAACAGAGCTGCGGCCGTGATGTCAGCCGGTCACATGGAGCCTCTTATGGCTCCGGATGGCTCTCGGCGGGCGGGCAGCTGCGGCAGCTGCTGCTGTGGCTCGGGCGGCGGCGGCAGAGGGGGCTCCGGGGTCGGACCATCCGCTCTCCCTGCGCGCTCTCCGCACCGCGGCTTAAATGATGTATTTTGTGATCGCAGCGATGAAAGGTGAGCCGGGGCGCCCTGCCGGGGGACTCGGGTGGGCTGGCGGCTCGGTGCGGGGGGTGCAGGGGGGCGGAGAGGAAGGCGCGCAGGGGGAGGGGTGGGCGCGCCTGCCCGGGCGCACGTACGGCCCGGGGCTGGGCACCGGGGGCCCCCTCCGAGGCCTCCCGTGTCAGCGCTGCGGCGCCCGCGGAGCCCGGCCCGGTCTCGGGTTTTGGGGCACCGGTGCGCGGGCTGAACCCCGGCTTCTCCGACCTTTCCGGCTTCTGTCACCCGCCTGGGTCTGCTTGGCACCCTGCAGGGCTCCCCAAAAGAAAAGTTTGCCTGGAGTCGCGGCGCTTGGGGAAGGGAAGGGTCTGGACAGCCGGGGGGACGCGCGCGGGGGTCGGGGGGATCCGGTCCCGACCCACACTCACACAAGGACCCGCACCCCGGATTGCTGTGGCCTACGTGGGGGGAGGGCGCCCCGCGGCCAGGCCAGGCCGTGCGAGCGGTCGCGATGTCACCCTCAGGGTCTGGTTTAGAGCCCCAGGCCTTCCTCACGCCCCCCCCCAGCACCCCCTCGGGCCGGGAAGCTCGGCTCGCCCGCGCCCCACGCCGGCTGGGGACGTCCAGACCGGTCCACGCCGTGGCCACTTCCGAAAGCGCGCGCGGGCCGGGCGAGGCGGAGCGGCAGGGACTCCCCGGCGGCGGCGGGCGGGCGCCCCAGCCGCAGCGCACCCCACTTAGGTAACTTAGGTTTGCGCATGGGTGTGGGAAGCCAACTCTCAGCCCACAGGACCGGCGGGAGGAGGACCGACGGGTGCGGATTAACCTCCGCACCCGGCCTTCCAGTCCTGATCTGAGGTGGGGGATCGGAGCCCGGCCATTAACGTAGAGTGGCGGGGGTGGGGTGGGCTGGTGAGAGTGGGGGTCATGGTCGTAAAGGAAGGGCAGAGGTCTCCAGTGAGGAGCAACGAAGCCCGTGGCAAGGCAGAGAAGTTTCTGACCGGAAAGCCAAAGTTTGGGAGGTGTGCAAAAAATAAAAAGTCGCCTTTGCTTTGCCGGAACAACCGAGCCTCGCGCTCCGAGTACCGCGAGCCGCCCGGGAGAGACTCAGCCCCGCGGCTCCGCGGCGGTGGATAATCCGCAGCTTCGCCGGCCCCGCCGCCACGCGTGGGGATTTAAACCCCGTCTGCGTGAAGCGCAGCCCCTCGGAGCTGTCCCGCGTGCGAGTTCCGCACGGCGGGCGCGGGGGCCCGGCGCGGGGAGATGCTCGCCTAGCTTGGGGATGAAGGCCGCCCCACCGAGCCGGTTCTTCGCGAGCTTTGCGTTTCTTCAGTACCTATTGGGTGGCATCGTTTAGTAATTAGGAACCCGCCGAAACGCACCGGAGGCCGGAGGCGAGCGGGAAGCGAGCTCTCTTCCGTGGAATGAACGTTTTCACCCCCTCCCCTCGCAGTCGGCAGGTAGATGGGGTCCAACCTGCGCCGGGTGTGCCAAGCGGGATTTTAAGTAAAGGAGAGGCAACTTTCTCGGATGCACGCTTTTAAGCATGGAAAAAGCATCTGGAAGGGGAAAAATATGTTTCTTACCGAATTCTTATGTGAAAGAATTCTACCCCCCCCAAAAAAAAAAGCCCTAAACACTTCCAGGCGATTCCTGCGGTCTTTGACTCTTTTAAGTGTAAAGCGACTCAAGTGTCATTTGTGAAAACATTTCATTCTTTTATTTCCCTGTAAATTAAAACAATAGATTTTGCTACTAGGTTTTGGTGATACGTGTGTATATAAATATATGTGATATTTATGAATATTTGTGATTGATTGGGAGAAAGTAGAGAGGCTGAGATGTTTTAAGTAGCTTTTTCCTCCTCTCTCTAATGAACAGTAACCAGACAATAAGGAAAGGCTGTTTTGATAATGTAATTTAACTTTGATTTTTTCCCCCTAGTCATGCAGGCTTTTGCTTTCGAAGTACTAGTAGACAGTGAAGTTTTGAGTGCAAGCGCTCCCTTAATAATAGAATTGTGAGAACTTGCACATTCTCCCTCACCTACACATCTTTTAGTCTTTGCGTGACCATTGGCTGGAATAAACTAATAGATTAAAAGCGTTGTGCTTTGAGATAAGTAGCTCTGAGGTACCAGCAATGCCATTCCCCCCTCCCATAAGCTCAGTTGCAGAGAGAGAGAGAGAGAATGAATATAAATAAATCTGGACCATTAGAATATTTCATTCCCAATAGTGCAACATCCTGTGTTTTAATAGAATTATCTTGCCTTTGGTGCAAATTTTGACGGAAGAAAAATAGATTGTGGGGAAAATGAGGAATGCAGTAAATGTTTCCATATCAGATAAAAAAAAAACTTGGTCCCGAATCATATTAAATACTTCCCTCCTGCCTCTCAGTTAATAGTTAAATTGGTTCCATATGTGAGCAAGTTTGTATAATTAGACCTTTTTCTGCAAAATAGAAAAGGCACTCTTTACAAAGTAGCTTTTTGGTATATGGATGCCTGAGGACAAAAGAGGAGCCAATAAGCAACGATAAAACAGAAACATCTTTACTGGCTGATTTACTGAGGGTTTAAAAAAAAAAGTCATTCAAAAATCAGGCGTTTTGAACTCACCAAAGAATAATCTTTCTTAACGGTGAGTTATGAAGTCTAGTTGTTGTTGGTTTTGTTGTTTTTAAGTAGTTTCAGCCTTGCAGGTGATACATCTTCATTTGAGCCCCGCTGGTCTCCCTCTTCAGTTTTGTTTTTGAGATTGCTTCTTGGACAAGCAGAAAGCAGCAGCAGCTCGATACTGTGTGTAGTCAGGGGCACACTTGTCCTGCTCCTCTAAAAAGTGTATTCACCAAATGTCATCCATGCTGGTTTGGTATGAGTATGTGTACCTTTAGTCGGCCTCTGGGAGTCTGAATGATGAAGGGAGGCTGGCCAAGGATTTGCTGTCCAGGAGAGATTTTTCTTATTTGGGTACCTGTGCAAAGAAGCTTGTGTTTAGTGGAAAAGTCTTAAGGGGCCCCCTTAAAAAATTTATTTTATCCTATTTGGAAAGATGAGTAAGACTTGGGAGTTGTTAAAAAAGATGCTGAAAAGGGAAAACATACATAGCTGAAAGTATCGAACAAGTCGATTTGGTGCTGGTGGGGTTTTTTTCTTTTTTTTTTAATTGTATTTTTATTATCTTGAAGTCATTGACCTAAATCAGATTATATAAGTACAGTGCCTCTTGGACGATGTATCACCCTTTTCAGTGTCACCCCCCAATCCCAGCCCAACCCTCCTCTCAGTTTTTTCCTAGTTTCATAGGACATGTATCGAATATTATGACTGCACACCCCAGCTGTTTTAAAGACAAAAATGTCTGTGAATTGATTGTGTATGGCTAGAAGGGAGCCTGGAGCAGAGAGGGTTTATTAAAGCCCATTTTTCATAGATCACCTATTGGTTTTATGTACATCAGTCACATCACCCTTGTCAGGAAAAGCAGCTATATGCTTAAGTCAATCACTTCCCATCCGTTTGAGTTGAGAACTGTTGAGATCTTATCCCAATGTTACCAGGTATAAATTAATACAACTTCTAAGCAGAAATGTATTTTTAATGTATACATTCCATGATTTATACCTTGACTTTTAATACTTAGTAGATATACTTGTAAATATATTAATAGTCTTCTAGAGTCCTGCTTGGCCTGTTTCCCTCCCAGCCAAGTAAATCACAATTGAAATGAGTAAGATCAGCAAATAGATAATTGCAAAGCATCTGCTCTAAGTAGTACCTGTTCACTTTGTAATTTGCTCTCTGGCACCTAAGAAAATAATATTTACAAATGACTTTGGGAGAAGTTGTTCCTGGAGGATGCATGCATGGATGAGTGAACAGATCATAAAGGTAAATATAAAGTTTGGTTTTCTTAAAAATTTCTCACAATCATTTTAGCAACCAATAAAAGCCTTGTCTGGGACAGAGCTTCAAAGAATATTTTGTAATAGAAAAAAACATATATATATTTTGTAATAGAAAAAATATATACATACTGTTTTTGTAGGTCAGGAATGTAGCTAATTGGCTCATTGCTCTCTAACAAAGCCCTGGGTTTTCTAACATGAAGGAAGGAAAGACGGAAGAAAGGAATAAAGTTAACTGCTGCATACATTTTTAAATATCCAGTGTTAATTACTAAAACTTCAAGGCTATTTTATGCATTTCACTTTTTTCTATTAAAAAAAAAACATAATCAGACACCAAGCCGGCTTCTGTACTGTTAGAGACCTGCACCAGTGACAAGTGTGAACTGGCATGTGGTATTTTCTCAAAGTCCACATGCTGACCCTAAGAGGAATGAATTACTACAACAGGTAGCTTCTCCACAAGGATTCCTCTCTCCTCCCCTAGCCTTTGGACTCTGGGACCGAGAGACTCATAGTCGCCGCTCTTTGTATCAACCAGTATTGTGGCTGACATGATAAAACTTGTGTTCTCTATAAACTGTCCCAAGGTTAAATCCAGAAATGAGATCTAAATAGGCATGAACGATCAGTCTTTTATTTCTGCTTTCCTTTTTCTTTAAATGGAAATCTGTTGGAGTATATCATGTAATGGGGAGATAACATGATGGCTCTTTTAAAGTTAATATGAAAACATTTAAAAAAATTTGCTCTCATGGATATAAAAAAAAGTAATATCAGGTTTCTTCCTTAACGTTTGCTAGTGAGTTCATCTCCTGCTGAGAGTTTTCTTTCCTCTGAAGTTTACTAGTCATTTCACAAATAAATAGGGTGATGCTGTTAATCAACATTTCATTTGTGCTTTTCTGGCTCTCACACACTGTGATCTTGTGCATTTATTCTTGGAAAGTCACTGACAGCTTCTTTGACTCAAAAGCATGAGGTTAAAGCTCAGACACATTATAGAACAAGGACTAGAATCTTCATTTCCAGCATCTTCCTTCCAACCCCCGAGGCAGCTGTGAAAAAATGTCCCAGATAAACTTTCTCTAGTTAGTGGAAATTAG